GAGCTGCTGTTCTGGTCATCTTTGTGCCACCATTTCCAGAGAAATAAAACCGATCCTTAATAACCCATGTAGAAGCACAAACAGGTTATCTCTTCTTCTTTCTAGTTTTGATCATATTTTTTAGTTATTTTTTTCTGGTTTGGAGGGCTTTTTTCCTTTTCTGGTTTGTTATAACTCCTGTGGTTCATCTGGAAGATGGCTCCTTTCTTGCACAGAGAGAGACATTAGATCTCTCAAGGAGAATCACTGACAGGTACACAGGAGGGACTGCAGAGGTCCGTCCACAGAAGCAACTCAGAGTGCAGCTGCCTTTCTTTTAGCTCTTGCCTTCATTGCAGAGTGAACTCAAGGTGAGACAGGAGAGCTGCTGTGACACAACAGCACCCACACAATCTTACCTTAAACGTGGGAGATTTCAAATTCCCCCTGACTTTTTGTGGAGAGAGTAGGTGCAACGTTGGGTTAGCACGGCTGTCAGAAGCCAGGGCACCCACTGCATACCTATCTTCCAGGCTGCGCTTTCTCCCTCAAGCCAGACTAAACTGAAAGGAGCTAAGTTATGTGTTGGTACTTTGAGTTAACTTTCCTTTAGGTGACTAAACATGGTTTGTTGGTAGCTCCACCTATAACAGAACAAAAGACTTTTTTTTTTTTTTTTAATCTTATGGAGAAAACATTTGTCCAGGAATTTTTAATCACTTCTATCTATATTAAAGAGAGAAAAGCTCTTCACTTACCACTTACCCCTCCAGTGCTTTCCTGCCAGCTTTACAAAGATATATTTTATATTTTCTGGATTCTTCATCTCTACAGTTCCCTTTTCTTTCAGTCATGGCATATACCCCAGGTCCAAATCCTGCACTCAGGCTGAAAATGAACTTTCTGTTCCTGGATGTGTGTGTGTCTCTGCCTCTCACTTGGCTGATGCCAGCTCAGACTGGCACTTCAGCAGAGTCTATGATCTGAGCCATAGATCATCCTGCCCAACATCAGTCCTTCTCCCTGGTGCTTGCCTGACATCTCTGTCATGGACTGAAGGGCACTTCTCTTTGGAAGTTAGTTGCTCTGTGGTTCAAATATATATTTGCTGGTGAGTCTGGATGAGCAAAGACTCAGAATCCTCAGAGTAAATCCTCAGAGTGGTGGATGCTTTCTTGGCGATGGGGTCAGCAAAAAAAGAAGAAAATCTCAGGCTCTCATGGATGCCAGTAGACGTTTAAAAAAATAACTGTTACTTTTCTCTAAGCAATGTCAAAACCATTATGAGTACACGGAATGGCAAATATTTCCTGTTCCACAACCCCAGCAAAATGTTATTATTCAGATATTTCTCCAGAAAGCAATACACCATTCAGCAGATTGTCACTGTCACCTGATCAGAGGAAGGCTGTAAGCTCATGGCTGTGCCTGTTCCACCCCGACTGTCACACTACTCCATGCCCTAAATCCCATGGAGACCTCATCCCTTCCCAGCTGTGCACAGGCCCCACTTTGACCCCACACTAACCATCCCTTTCCAGCTAAAGGTTAATTACTCCCGGGGACATTTCCATCCAGGCTGTTGCCTGCAGGTTGCAGTCCCTGAGTGCTATTTTTAGACCATCTCCTTCCTTGCTATTGATCCCAGTCACCCTCTGTTAATTAGATACACACAACACACACAGCATTTGCAACTCATTTATCAATTCTGTTCAGCACCTCCCTCCCCTGAGATGTAATTTGGAGCCCTCCTTGAATCATGCTATTGATCTTTCCCAGCAACTTTGCTATAGGATTCTCTGTGTTGCAAACTATTTATAGATTCCTCTTCTCCTGCTCTCCCTTGGGGAATCAGAAATGGGCAATGGTAATCAGACTTCTATTTTTAAGGAGTTGATCAAAACCAGATATTTCCTCTTTTCTCCTCCTTTCCCCTCCTTCCCCCTATTGCTTCTTTCAGCAGGTGAGACCTTGTTGCTGCATGTGGTGCTGTAACAATTCTGGTAACGTTCAGGTGACGTGATGCAGATTTTGACCTGAGTGAACTCTTGTTTGCTGAACTGATGAAATGAATTCTTCCTTCTCCCTGCATCAGGAGTTTCAGAAAGGGTTTTGTGACCAGTTTTGTCTGCTTAGCTTGGGGTGCACCTTTCAAAGGGCTTTGTTCTTGGAGACTGACTTCTGATCTGATCCATCTGCCCCCTCATATTTCAGGAAGTGTATCCAAAGACCTTAGACAGTGTCTAGCCAGGAGTGAGACAGTTGCTTTTAGAGATGGAAGGTTAGAGTAATTAGCCCCGGGGGTCTAGGATTTGAGAAAGACCTAAAACAGGGGAATGTCACCTGAGGCTCAGAGAAGTCAGGACCAGCTCAGTCCTCACTGAGTAAGGCTGAAAATCCCAGCCCTAACTGAGGAGGATGCCTACAGTTCCCCGGGGGCAAAGTGACACCAGGAGGGGCAGCCTTGTCTCAGAGGACATAAAAGCAGCCTTAAGCTCCTGTGGTAACACCTGATGCTGGAAACCTGATAGTCAAGGGAGAGACAGGACGCTGACTAGAGCGCCTGAGGGATTGCATCCTCCCAGGGTGGTGGCTCAGGATCTGTGGGGCAGGGGGTGCACTCTGGGAGACTGGGCTGCCTCCTTGAGCCATCAAGAACATTTTGCTGTGTGTATTTGTGCTATATGTAAATGATCACGGAACCACACAATGGTTTGGGTTGAAAAGAACCTTAAAGATCATTCAGTTCCACCCCTAAGCCATGTGTCTATGCGTACTCCTGTGCTTGGGGGCCTATGCTGAGGCTGGGGAAGGGGCTGTGTGGTGTGGAGGTGGTGTGTGGAGGGCTGTAGCGTGGGCAGGTTTTGGTGTGTGTGGTGCTGTGTGCATTCGGCTGAGGATCTGGGCAAGCTGTGGTGTGTGTGGCTGTGGGGTGTGGTTGTGGGGTGTGTGGTTGTGGTGTGTGTAGGTCAGTGTGTGCGTGTGGAGGGGCTGCCTGAGTGGAACTGCGGTGTGTGGAGCTCCGTGTGCATGCAGTGTCAGGGCAAGGTGTGGTGAGTGGCTGAGTGTGTGTGACTGTGGGGTGTGATGCCCGGGGTGTGTAGGGCTGTGTGTGTGTGTGTGTATGGTCGGTGGTGCACAATGCTCAGGTGTAGGGTTGTATGGGTGTGTGTAGGGCTGCACGGGTGTGTGTAGGGCTTTATGGGTGTGCATAGGGCTTTATGGGTGTGTGTAGGGCTGTACGGGTGTGTGTAGGGCTGTATAGGTGTGTGCGTGTGGGACATGGTATATGATGCTCGAGGTGGGTAGAGCAGTGCATGTGTGTGTGTGGCCGGTGGTGTGCAATGCTGGGAAAGAGGCGATGGTGTGTGAAGCTCAGGGTGTGGAGCTCTGCGTGTGTGCCTGGCGGCGGTGTGTGGGGCTGTACGTGTCCGTCTGTGGAGGGGCGGTGGTGCGTGGAGCTGCGGTGCGTGAGGCCCCCGGGGAGGCGGGCACAAATCTGTCCCGGTCGCTACCCGCTGCTCGGTTGGAGAGCGGGAGGGGCTCCGGGCTGTCCCTGCGGGAACGGCACGAGCCCGCCCCGCTCCGGGCTGTCCCTGCGGGAACAGGGGCGTGGCCGGGCCCGGGGGAGGCGGGAGGGAGCCAGGGATGCTCCGCGGCCGCTCCCAGCCGGGGCGGCACCTAGGGGGTTAACGCGCTCCCCGCCGCGGGCCGGGGCGGGCTCCGCATCCCGCATCCCGCCTCTCGCGGCGGAGCGGGCACGGGCACACGCACACACTCACACACACACACGCACACGCCCGCACACACACACACACGCTCTCTCACACACACGCGCGCAGGCGATGGCTGCGGGGCGCGGGCTCGCTTCTCCCCGAGATGATGTCAAGAGCCCGGGAGAAGGAGGAGGAGGAGGACGGTTGCTCTTTTTCTTAACGGCTTTGTTCTAAAAACCATCCTAAATAAAGCAGCCCCCGCCCAGAGCGCCGGGGCAGCAGCCGTGAAAGTACCCTTTCATTTTCCCATTCCTTTTTTTTTTTTACCCTCTTCTCCTTTTTTTTTTTTTTTTTTTTTTTTTTTTTTTTTTTTTTTTTTTTTTTTTTTTTTTTTTTTTTTTTTTTTTTTTTTTTTTTTTTTAAATTTTTATTCTCGTCTCCGTCTTTGTGTCCGCCTGGGGCCGAGCTCTCCCCTCCCGCGCTCCCCGGGGGAAGCCGCCAGCGCTTCCCCGCTCCCGCCCGGCATCCCCGCGGCCGGAGCCAGCGCCCTCCGCCGCCGTCCCGCCCCGCCGCTGCCCCGGGGCAGGTGCTCGTTCCGCGGCCGCCGCCGGCGCCTCCCCCGCCCTCCCTCCGGCCGGGGCGGCTCCGCGCCGCTCCTCCCGCCCGCGGGGCGCCGGATCCCGCCGCCAGGGCCACGCCGCCGGCCCGGCGCCCCCGCCTCCCGCCGGAGCGGCGGCGCGGCCCGGCGCGCCCGGGGATGCTGCCCCCGGCCCCGCGCCCGCCGCCTGACACCGCCGCCGCCGCCGCCCTCGCCGCGCCGGACGCCGCTCCGCTGCCCACGCCGCGGCCACCTGCAGCAGCAGCAGTAGCAGCAGCAAAAGAAGAAGCAGCAAAAGCAGTAGCAGCAGCAGCAGCCTCCCGGCTCCCCGCCGCCCGCCGCGCACCGCGGCGGAAAGAATAGAGAGCGCCCAGCCCGTCCCGACCCGCCCGCCCGGCGCTCCCGCAGGCAGCCGGGGGCCGGGGCGGGTCGGGTCCCCGACGGTCGGAGCCCGGCGCCCGCCGCCCCTCGCCCCGCTCCTCCTCCGCGGATGGGCGCGCTGCCGCCGCCCGGCCCCCCCCGGCCCCGCCGCTCCGCCTGAAGAAACTTGGGACGGCGGCGGCCTCCGCCTCCCCGCCGCGCCCCGCCCGGGCTGCGGGCGACCCTTCCCCGCGCCGCCGCCACAACTTCGCGGGGGGACCCGCCCGCCGCAGGACTCCGTGCCGGGGCCGCCGGCCCCTCGGCGGGGACCCCCTGCCCCTGGCCTCGGTGCTGGGGAGGAGCGGGGGTGCCCTGGATGGCCCTGCGCACTGGGACGGCTTGGTTTGGGCAGGTCCTGCGCAGAGTTTCCCGGCTTCAGGGCACCTGGTCCCGGCGCTCCAGCAGCCTCCTGTGCCTCTCTTCCTCGCAGGAGTCCGAGCAGGCGGGCGGAGAGCGGCCGCCGCCGCAGCACAAGCTGCCCCGGAGCAGCGGCAGTGGCGGCGGCGGGCGCCGCCAGCCCCCCCGGCGGCTGCTCCCCTGCTGTGGCTGCTGCGGCCTGTCGGATCCCCGGGCGGCCAGGGGGGGACATGGTCCCCTCACTCGCCCCTTGCTGGCGGCCATGAAGAGGCAGAACGTGCGGACCCTGTCCCTCATCATCTGCACGTTCACCTACCTGCTGGTCGGGGCTGCCGTCTTTGATGCCCTGGAGTCCGACAACGAGATGCGAGAGGAGGAGAAACTCAAAGCCGAGGAGATCCGGCTCAAAGGAAAGTACAACATCACCAGCGAGGACTACCGGCAGCTGGAGTTGGTGATCATGCAGTCCGAGCCGCACCGAGCCGGAGTCCAGTGGAAATTCGCCGGCTCCTTCTACTTTGCCATCACGGTCATCACGACCATCGGTGAGTGTCGCCTCTCGGGGAGGCCCTGTGGGGCCACGGCCGGGGTTGGGGCAAATGCTCCCCGGGTTGGGAGAAAGGGAGAGGGGCAGGGAGGCTGTGACATGCAAGGGTGCTGGTGCTGGAGATGAATTTCTTGCTCCCCTCCTCTGTTATGTAATTCATTGCTCTTCTTGGGCACTTGTTGGACTTGGCGGTGTCCCACACCTCTTCTCCTGGAGATGGATCCTCCGTCTCCTGGGTGGCACTGGGGAGGAGTGGGGCTGCTCTGGCAAGGGGAATTGGCAGTGGCCAGGTGGCTACCATGGAGGTCTGGCTTGGGGGGCAAGGAAGAGCAGGGGGAGAGGCAGGGTGACACTCTCCTGGGGTTCCCCTCAGGAAGAAGGCCCTGTTGCCACACTCCTTCTTGCACCTTTGCTTAAGACACATGGGGAAAACTTAGGCAAAAGGCAGCTGGATGAGAATGAAAATGAAGAGGGCATGGGAACTGGATCAGCTGGGAAAGCCCTTGACGTAGCCAAGCATAGCCCCGCTTTTGCAAACTTTGTTTTGGTATTGGCAAGGGCTGTGGTGGCGGTTCCCACAGCTGTGGTCCCGTTGCTGGGCCTTTCCTGGGCATTCCCAATGTGTTCCTGAAGTTTTTATTGCAGCTGGAGTGTCTGATGTGTCAACAGGTCACAGCCTGTATCTACCCTTTGTGGGCACATGATGTGAAAGGCAAAATGTTGCCTGCTGTCACATCCATGCTGCCCAGTTCTCAGATGTGCCATTTCCCAGGACGGTCAAGGGACAGTCAGTGGACACAGCCACGGGCTGTCATTTTGTACTTCCCTGCTTCCCACAGCTAAAGCTGAGCATTTCACACAAAGTTTGCTTCCCTGCCATGAAAATAAACACCGCGATGACTAGAGGCTGCAGAGTGCACACAGAACTGTGCTACAACTCCAGCTTTGGCTACATGAGAAGGTTTTCTTCCCTGATTTTGTATTCTCTAAGGTGGATTTACTGAGACTGTTTGTAACTTTTCTTCTCCCAGAATTTCTAGATGTTCCCCTCTAACAACTGGGGAGATCTGAAAAGACCCTTCTAGCTCAGGGGCTGTTTAGCAGTGCATTGTTCAGAACAGGACATGAAAGTAGCTCTTATTAATACAGAAGGACTCAGTCTTTTTACCATTTTGGGCTTGTTACAAGAAATTTTTACACTGCCACCTGAACATACTCAGTTTTCTGCAGAACGTGCTGTCCACTGCCCTTTGAGAAGTATCTACTTATGTCTGTATTTGTATTATACCTGGAGCAATAAAATAATTTCCTTTGAAAGACCATTTGACGGTTTAAAGCCTATTTACCCTTACAAAGATATGATTTTTTAAGGGATAATTTCCTCTTCTTTTCTGCTATTAGATATATTAATATAAATAGCAAATGTTAGTAGGTTATGGAATATAAAGTAGAATGGAACTTTGGCTGATGATTTGTATTTCCCGCTGTTCATTACAATGTCAGAACTCTCTTTCCTTCTTTGACCACTGGGTCTCTCATCCTCGACCTGTCTCTTATCACTTATTTCTGCAAAGTGAATACTGGACTGTCGTACCCCTCTGGATTACAGCAAGGCTTCCATGCACACGCCTGTGTACTCATGGTGCCCTGTACTCCTGCCTAAAAGTGGCTGCAACACTTGCTGCATTTGGAAGCTCAGTTGGTGAAAGGTGGAAAGGGCTGTTCGTACAGTAGTTTGCTGTTTTGATCATATTTTACCTGGAAACAAGTACAACTTGCTTGGGAAGCTTTAGCATTCTGTCCTGCAAAGAGCTGGAATTTGTTCAGGAAGCTCGGAGCACCTCAGCTTGCAGAGGATAGCGTGCATTTCTGTAGGCAGAGGCACTTCGGGATGTCAGAATTGTTTAAATCTAAAAATGTGTATAGCAACAGGGAACCACTGGGAGGAAGAGTAACAATAAGGAATGGTGCAGAAAGACAGACATTCTGTAACGATTGTTCATTTGGGAAGCTTTGCTCCTGGAGGATATCTGATCCGTCTTTTAAAAGTTTATTAATAGTTGCTATCTGCATCCTGCCAAATGCACTGCTATTTTTTGTACCGTCTCTTCTGTACTAAAGTGCCTTCATGATGGTATCTGATCTATTGGTAGTCTGTAAAAGTGAGCATGGAGAATTTTTCTTTAACTTCTTATTCTCTTAAAATAATTTGGCTCGCAGAGGGGAAAAAATTACTTCTTTTGTTTAAGTTCTCAGGAAAATAAGAGTTCTTATCTGTGTTTCTTGCACCGGGAAGTGATTTTAAATGTCCGTGTTAATCGTTAGTGAAGATTGTTTTTTTCAAAAAATCTATGTGTATGCTCTTACATACATGTCCTTCTCCCTCTAAAACCTTCCAGACAGACTTCCAGAAGCACATGCAGTGCGATATGGATTGGTGAACATGCTGTAGTCAGTAGGTACTCCTGCAAAAGTGTGTCTAACTAACGGGCTGATTTTTAAAACTGAACGAACAAAGACCTTGCCTTCCCTAATCTGGACATTTACCTCTATCTCCACAAAACTTCCCTTCTGAGAAAACAGTGAAAGGAGTCAGCGGACCACAAAGTCGAGCAGCATGCATATGGTTGCAGACTAATTTATGTCTAACTTAATTGCACTCCGTGATACTGCCGTGCTAGCAACATGTCCGAAGCAATTACCTCGTTGCTGCGCTGATTTCAACTACTGTAGCTCTAATTTAATCAAAGGCGTTTATGGCTGGCCGTGGCCCATCAGCCCACTGCCCTGGTAGCCGGGAAGAGGCCGGTGCTTCTCGGCAGGTGCCGGGGCAGCGGCGCTGCGGGGTGGCCGCGGGCGGGGCGGGGCGGGCGCCGCTGCCCAAGGGACACGTCCGACAGTGTCCCCAGAACCTGGTGCTGAAGGGACAGGACTCTCTTCACCCCTGGGGCGTGGCGGGGGTGAAGGGACAGCTCTGGCAGTGTCCCCGAGAGCTGGTGCTGAAGGAACGGGTCCCACAGTGTCCCCGGAGGTGGGTGCTGAAGGGACAACTCTGGCAGTGTCCCCGGACCGTGGTGCTAAAGGGAGAGCTCCGGCAGTGCTCCCGGTCCACGGTGCTGAAGGGACAACTCCGGTGAAGTCCCCAGTCCGTGGTGCTGAAGGGGTAGATCCTACAGTGTGCTCAGACCGTGGTGCTGAAGGGACAACTCCAGCAATGTCCGCAGTCCGCGGTGCTGAAGCCACAACTTCGTCAGCGCCCTGGGGCTGTGGTGCTGAAGGTTCAGCTCCCCTCCATCGCCGCTGCTCCCCTCATCGGGCAACCTCTGCAGCTTGTTGCTTGCCGTGAAAACACATCATTAAGGACCTGTTTGGAAGGAAGCTTGAAAACCCGAAACCCTCCTGTGTGAGGTGAAGTGCTAAGATTTGGTCAGCTCTCGCATTTCCTCAAATCTATGGCATTTGGCTTTTATTGGAGAGTGCTAGTGGGCTTTTGCTTGTCAAGCTGAGTACTAAACAAAGAAGCAAGGGCTAATCAAGTAAATGGAAACAGTTTGTTTTTCACCTGGGGCACACCATATTTTTCTACTCCACAGTGCAATGTTCTTGTGGTTTTTTTCTCTCTTT